AGGAGGAAGAGACATCTTTCCAACTACGACTCAGGATATCAGCGGTAGCCGATTGAGGCCGAGGGAAAAGCATTGGCGGATTCAGAGGACTGGAGAAAGAAGCTGTAGTAAGAGTGTCTCCTCGGTCAGAGGTTGGGGTAGCGAATGAAAGACGAGTGTTAGTAGCTGCTTGTAAGTGAGGTTCGAAAGTCGTAGATGCATTGACGGCAGTGCGAGGTCGATTGGAGATTTCTGCTAATCGCGATGGGGGGCAGGTCAGTCCGCCTTCTGTGTTGGCACTGCTCATGGGTCGCTCAGAAGAAGCGGCAGATTCAATGTTAGGTCTGAAGAGTGATAAAAGTGCTTGTGCTGGTCTCGGAGATGGAGCTGTTATGGACGATGGAGTGTTGTGCCCAGTCATGTGAAGGCCGATTTGACGAAGGCGATTGAATGCCGTGTCGAAGTCTTTTTCCGACTTGAACCTGATTTGAATACGACGAACCTGTACTCTGTGTCAGAGCTGCAGGAACTGAAATAGCTATTTGCGTACTTTTTGATTGGGCAATCGCCATCGGATAGCAAGCAATGGGCTGCGAACAATGGCGGAGGTTGGCAGCTGTTCCGCCTGCATCTGCACTCCTTGATCTTGCATTTGACGAATCAATTTTTCTCCTTCCTTTACGAGTCGCTCTATATCTATAAGGTGCTGTGTTTAAGAAATTAGCAAGTTTGTTGAACACATGTAGTCAGTAGCTCCGTGTTGAAGAGGTATCAGGCATGCTTGTCTCGTACCCGAACCTGCGTGCCCTGAACCACTTTTATGAGCTGAGCATTATCGCGTCCACCATAGCTGTCAATTACGAAAGTGAGGTCATGTGTTTCTTTCTGCCAGTTGAACTTCTGCTGCTTGGCATCCGCGTCTTGAGCCGTGGACAGGCTCGTAAGCGGAAGTGAGAGCATGACAGTTAGTGAGTGGTACGTGGCTGTTGGTTAGTTGGAGATGAAGTATGCCTTCAAGAGATGAATGACTTGGTTGTCAAAGCTCGGTTCTAGCATAATGCTATCCCAAGTCATGGGCATGTGGCTGTGAGAAGACGTGAGAAGGATCAAGGAAGTCGCGACTGGGAGATGGTCACATGACCTTAGCGCTAGATGAACGCGGTGGATTCTGGAGTTCTGGTGTTCGCTCATCCATCATCGCGACCGAACGCGCGCCGCGCATTCACCAGCAGATCCACCATTGCGCATGTCGCACCGCTCAAGCCACGCATGTATCCCGATCCGTGCGTCCGTAGTTTCTAGTGAATGCGACAGCCGCAACATGGCCCCAAACAAAACAGAGGAAACCTCCGTCGAGCCCACTCAAGAACGGGAAGAGTTTCTAGATACCTTGGCCGAATACCACGAAAAGCGCGGGTGCGTCATCTTGCCTGTTGTCTTGCACCCAGCGCACCCATATTGACTAGACGTGTAGGACTGTGCTGGATCGCGAGCCAAAGATCGGTAATCGACACATTGACCTTTTGCGCCTTTACAAACGCGTGAATGAAGAGGGAGGATACGACAAGGTTTCTGATACCAAGAACAACAAGCTTGCGTGGCGGAGAATCGCCTCGGAATTTCTCCCTAAGAGCCCCAGCATAACAACTCAAGCCTTTCTGGTCAAGACTGTCTACTACAAGAACCTTGCGTATGTCCAGGCCTCGCGCCTCACCCTGCGGTTCACCCCGGCTGACACACGAAATAGTGCATACGAAATATCCACAGTCCACAAGCGCGAACCCCCGCCACCTGAAATCCTCGAGAACGTATCCGCCAAGGGTGGGGACTTGCTGAACCGTACCGTAGAGAACTTCCACCCGCCTAGTAGTCGGGAAGCCGAGCGACTAAGGGGAGAGGAGGAATCAGACGAAGAAGACGACATGGAGAAGACACCCAAAGAAGACAAGATGGAAGTCGACGATTCCGCCAACCTTGGGCGGTCGACGCGCTCCCTCCGCCATGCGCCGCCCCAGCGGGTGCTGTTCCAGCCTGAAGCCTCGACTCGCCAGACCCGCCAATCCACGGGCCACCTGAACTCATCGCAAGCCAACGGATATGGAACAAGTGGAGCCGCCATGACAATTGCCAACTATGAGCCACGAACAGCTGTGCCAGCCACCATGAAACCCGTCGTAACTCCCTCGAACTCCCTCGATACATACGTGCAATCGCGCAAGAAGTACATCCTCAACAAGAAAAATAGGCCAGTCCCACTGAAAGGCATGATGCTACCCGGTACCGGCTTTCCTGGGCCCAGCATTTACATTCGCGCTCTCAATGCGCTGCGGTCAAAGGAGCCCGAGGAGGAGGCATATGCTCTTCACCATTTGGTCAAAATATCCCACGAGCGAGGCGACAAGTACCGCTTCGATCAATTTCCGGGACTTGCAGAAGCACTCATAGCCAAAGTCATCGATGTGGGCGCGCTCTTCTACGATGTGAGCTGGGACATTTCTTACCTCGAAGAGGAATTCAGTAACCCACAGACCCTGAATGGGTTGTCTGGCACACCCGACCTGCTTGAGCGCGTCTCTTCTCTCCACACGCTCGATATCCATGACAGTCTCCTACCTGAACAGACAGCCAAGTCGCTCAACATGATCAATGAGGCAGCACTGATTATCCGGAATATGGTTATGCTGAAGGAAAATGCATTGTTTGCCGCCCTCGTACCGTCCATTCAGGATATGATCGTCATTGCCCTCAATCTACCCACCCATCCGTCTGTAGTAGAGCTGCAGCATTACGCCCTTGAGATTACCGAGCAGTTGACGAAGTATTGGATGCTGGACTCTCAAAGTCCGCTCTACCGTTCTCTGCTAGCGCAAATCGACACGGATGACCGTGGTCGGATCATTACCTCTTTGAGAGCACTTGCACGAATATCTATGAACCTTGATGTTACAAACAAGCTCTCGAAAGTACCGACGAAGACTCTCAAATCAATATGTGACTGGCTACTAGTAGAAGACGAAGATCTCCGCATAGCCTGCCTAGACTTCCTCTACTTGTTCACTGGTTTCCCAGATAATGTTGAGACACTTGTACACGAAGTCGATATTGAGGGTGTCATCAAGCAATTGGTGCGACTGCTGCAGTATGGTGCAATTGCTTATGAGGAGCGTAGAACCACCCCAAAGACTACGAAATCATCAGCGCCACCAGAAAATGCACCAAAGCTGTCGTCCGCTATCATCGATCATCTAGTCACTCTTGATGAACCAGAGAGAAGTTCGCAATGGCTCAAGACGTGTTTCGAAGAGGATCCTACGGGCGAAATCACACAGATTCAACTTTGGTCAGCATACAACGCAGCCTTCTCAGAGCATATGGCACATAACCCGGCCTCTTTTAAGGCTCTCATGCCTGCAAAAGATTTCATCACAAACGTGTCAACTACGTTTGGTGGTGCATCTGCTCAAGTTTTGACTGTCGGTGGGCAACCAAAGTATACCATAAGAGGTATACGACCGCGTTCCGTACCAGTTGATCCGAGCACCAAGCGGCCATATATGCGCTGCTGCTGGCACCCACCGAGCTTGTTGAATGGTCACACGGATGGCAAACACTCCACGGCCAATGTCGAATGCGGTGAGTTTGCATCCGGTGCGAGATCTATGTGGGAACACGTCGTGAGTGTGCATCTCCAAGTCCCTCGTGATCAGGAGACAGGTCAGTGGCTGCTTGAGTCCAAGCCGGATATCGACATGAAAAACGGAGACGCGGTTTCGGCAAGTCCACCTTCGAAATACTTCTGTCACTGGGGTGGTTGTACGCGCTTCTCTCCCGATGGTACAGAATCTGCGTTTGAAGCTGGACAGCATCTGAAGACACATCTGCCAGACACAAGCATCAAGCATGCTATTCATGCAAAGCACAACCGGACACCATCAGAATCTCGGCCCATGACTTCTTCCTCACAGATGCGACACGAAAGTCTCCAGCCGCAATTCGGACAACCCGTAGGATTGAGCGGCTTAGGCATGAGCGGTCGACCCCAGACTTCAACCAGCTCCGTCAGCAGAAACGGCATGGGCAGGGAGGATTCGTCAGGCCCACACTCAGCTCCAAACTTCCGGTATTATAACACCGCCACCGATGAAACTAACGATGCGGCCGGCCTTCCTCTGTCCTCCGTGCTCGTCCTCCGCAATCTCGCCCGTCAGCTCAACAAGATCCCGCCGCCAACCTCCGTCACCGAAATCACATTACCCTCTTCTCCAACCCACAAGCGCGCATTCAGTGCTAGCGAAGGCAGTCCTGAAGCTGCGAGACGAGCTACGACAAGCGGTAAGAAGCCGCGTCTCAACGATGCAGCGTCCGAGCAAAGACGCGAGAACGAAGAGAGGGAAGAGCAAGAAGCGAAGAATGCAGGATGGGTCCCGCGCATGTTTACTCCGTTAAGAGACCAGATTGCCTTCACGGCTAGTCATAATCTTACGCTGAGGAATTATATTGGTGGGCTGCTGAAGGCTATTGCTGAGGGTGGAGGCTGATCTTGTTTTATCTATCATCCCTTATAAAAAAGAAAGTAGCTAATCTTTTGGCGTTTTGATGGGCAGAGGAGTGATGTGTTACTGTGTTGAGCAAAGCGTTTTCAAATGGGTGTCTGTTTGGAGTTTCTGCTTTTGTCTAGAGCAGGACTTTTGTATGCCTCGAGGGGAGGGGCTTTTTTTCTTCTCTAGGTATTTTCTATGCAAGTGACTTGGGCAATGGAAAGAAGTGCTAGTTGGATGTTCTCTTTTTTTGGTCGTCCGAGTCTTATGCTTCGTTACATACAGTTTCATATCATGCGGGTGATGTGAGCAGCCCTTTTCGAGAACATTTGCGTCACAATGGTCTCTGGAGTTGTTTTGTTCAGATTGAAGAAGAGGCAGACTCGATACCTTGACTATATGCTATGACTATGCAACCGAATAACAAGGTACAAAAGACTCAAGTTTCTCATTTCAGAACACAAGAGCGCATCCCCATGCTAATCAAAAGGTCTCCTTCTCCTCGAAATGTTTCCTCATCTCGTACACGGACATGAAAGGAATAACAAAGATGGGATGAACAGGCTTCACCACATCGCCCTCGTCCCATACAACCTTTTGATCCCCAGCATATCGTCCTTGCGACTTCCAATGATACGGGGCACCGTAATTCCCTGTACCCAGATTCTTATTCACGTTCTCGTCGTACACGTACTGGTACTGTGCGGCACTGAGCCCAGCAAGGTTGTAACACGTGTGATAGGCATCAGAATGCTTCCCAGGCTTGTCTTTGAGGCCACCTTTCTTCTCCTGGCAAGCAGCCAGGATGTAGCGGCCCAGAGCAGCGCGGTTCCACAGACCGGTGGCGGTTGCGGCTTCGACAATGGACCAGCAGCCGCCGACCCAGTGGGAGTAGCAACCATCGACAAGCTTGTTTGTGCGGCCGTTGTACCCGCACTCAGGCGAGCACTGGCGTGACGAGAGCCAACGTGTCAATAAATCGACGTCGAGATACTTGTGTAGAGTATCCTTTGGTGGGCCGAGGATGGACAGACAGCCTAGGCCGCAGAAGGCGTAGGCGCCGTGGGCCTCGTTGCCGGGGGCGGCTGAAATACCTCCGTCCCAGGATTGGCATTGGGAAACCCATTCGCCCAGACTGTCGGTGAAATTGGTCAGGCCGTGTTGCCGTGCCGGGGCGTCAGGTGGGAGCTCGAGCGGGAGATTGGTGAGGGATAGGATGACCATGGCGCAGAAGGCGCCCCGAATGTCTTCCTCACCGCCTTGACACATGGTGAAGCCTCCGTCTGCTTGCTTCATGCGCCCGAGAAAGTGCCACAGCGATTTGCGGTTGATGGTCTCGTAGGCTTCTTCTCCTCCGACCATGGCGATGGAGAGAGTCGCCGCATATGTGCATGCAAGGTGTGCATATTGGCCATAGCCGCCTCCAAACCCTCCATCGGGATGTTGGGCTAGTGAGAAGGTGTGCGCTACCCTATATGTAGTCAGAGACTAGGATTCAATATATCGGTTGTCATGTCCAATGCATAGATATAGAATCAAGACGGCCAACCCACCTTTTCTGGTAATCGGAAATGTCAAGTCCTAGTGCTGTCATGCTCTGAGTGGCCCAGTACACAATCCACGGCCGGGCAGCATCCATGGCAGCCGCTTGTGCCGGGTAGTCGCCAATGATCCTCTTTAACATGGCCTCGTGCTTGTCCCGTTGGAGTTTCGGTATACCAAAGGCATTAAGAGAAAAGTCATTCGGGTTGCCCTCGAGGTATGGTAGGATAACTGCTGACGTCTCATCCTCTACTTTGGTTGATTCGGTGACAAGAGAATCTTTGATCGGTATCCTGATACTTTCCAGGTATGCAATGTTGGCCTGCTCTTCTGCAGTGGCGGTGCCCATGTCTTCGTACTCGCTGTCGAGCTCTTCGTCTGAGAGTTCTTCGATCCGCTTAGATTCGGGAACGATTTCCTCCAAGCGAGATGAGGGCTCTTGTGCAGAGAAACGCAGGGGAAGCGCCATCTTTTTCACATGCGCTTATAGATCTATGGATCTAGCAGGTCTGTTGTTGGGGTTTCCGTGAGTGGCTGGCAGGAACAATGGCTTTGCTAGCCAGGAACGCTTAGTATTGTTCGAGAGCGGATGTAGCCACCCCACCAGTTGGACGGAAGATTTCACAATCTGTGTTGGTGTGCAAACCCCATGGTTCGACTGTGGTCAAGGATTGCCCTTCTTGAATGTCGCATGTCGAGAAGAATAGGTGGAGCACGTGGGGAGTAATCAGATTGGATAGTACTAGCTAGCTTGGCACTCCAGACTCGAAGCCCAGCCCATATCGATATCGATAGCAATATATCCGCGATTCCTTATCCAAGCCCCATATCCTAATTTCAACCTCACGCGTACTACAAAGCTGCTAATCTTAATCAGAAGGCCGCACACCCGCCATACCAGCCAACTCCTCTCCGACCGTCTCTCCCCCAAGCTTCAACGGCTGACACTCCTGCAACACAAAAAGCATCCTACACCACTCAGTCGGGCTATGGTTGATCCATTGATGCATGGTCCCGCGCTGAATCGCGACATCTCCCCGCTTCATGAAGCGCTTCTCGCCGCTGTCGAGTAGACATTCGATCTCCCCCTCGAGTACGCAACCGTAGTCCAAGCTCACGGTCCGGTGCATTGTGCATTCTGTGGCGGGAGGAATATCAACGTGTCGTAAGACTGTCCCACCAGAGACTACAAGTCCTGGTGCGTCATTGAGGTAGTCGCCATATACACCAAGGTCTTTGTCCTTGTTCATGTCGACAGGGAACCCTTTGGTCGTGTAACTGAGGGCGAATGCGATACCGTCGGAGTTGGGCTTCATCTTGCTCTCATCGTCGAAGGCATTGCTAAAGATAGCTTTGCCTTCATCGTTGTGGCTGGTAATATAACGGTGGATCTTGGGCAGTGCGCCGACGTGTGCCATGTTGTGCTTTTCGTGGAAATTAAGGTGATGAAGTGACTGTTACTTCTCTGATACAAGGCAAGGCAAAGCAAACTCAGATTGGTTGTCTGAGTTCGTGTAGTACGAGCTTCTCTTGATTACTCATTGATATGTTTCTAATTCTTGTTTAAATGCTTCACACTTTGTCCGAATTACTCGGGACATGGGGGATGCGCGTGGAGCCGAAGGCCGACTGTGCTTTGTGTAACTTTCCCCCCGATACTCCGAAATCTACGGAAGATAGATTTGCGATGGCTGGCGATGATCGTCCCTCCGCTCCGCCCTTCAGACTCGGTTTTTATAGGTTTTTATCTTTGTTGTCTTATCAAAACGCACATATGCGAGCTCATCACCTGCTGTGTTCTCGGTAAAGCCAGCTACACGCAGTGCTTCCCGGACTCGGTACGGATTCAGCTCCTCCAATTGGATGCACGTCACATAGACTTTTCAGCAGCAGTCAGCCTTGCTTCGCTTTCATTGCTGCTGGGAACATTGGTTCGCTATTACCCCGCAACGACGAAATGTGCGGGGCGCACTGCCCAAAGGTACGTAATACCCAAAGCATGCTAAGTGGCGCAATAGCACGTCTGTACCGAGAAACTGGAGTTGGGATTCCATGTAAGGTGCGTAACGAAATTGGTGTAGAACAGAAGGTACTTCTTTGATCAAATTGGGAAGAATCGCCACTCACGCCTCTATCTGCTGTCGGGCTATCTTGCTGCCATCTGGTGGAAGTTATCGTAACACAAACAAACTCAATATGATATACAAGTCGGTCAGGGTCAGCACTTTGCTGAACTACAGTAATGAAGGTGGTTTCGTTTGTTGATTGACTGCTTACAGTCTGTGATTATGGAGTGAACACGGTGGGTCTCGTATCGGCGTGGTTGAGCGGGAGGGAAGAAAGGACCCTCCAGTTCACCATCACCACCTTCCAGTCACCAACGGGGCGAGTCAGATTTGTCATCCCTGATCGCTACCCATTTGCTCTCCACACAATCTCAATCACACCCTTCTCGTGCAACCCCTTGCGTCTGAGCCTATCAACCGATGTCTTCGTTCTTCTTTCCCAACGCCACAAGAACATGAGTTGCCCACAAGGTCTCACAGCCGCCAACCATCACAGCTTGTGATCTTACAATCGTGACAAGTCATGCAAGAAGCAATGAGATGCAGCGCTTACTCGTTTAGATTCACCGAAGCTGAATGTGCCCAGGACCGTTGGCAGGATCTATCTTACATGCAGTGCAGCGCAGTGCAGTGCAACGCCATCTCCACCAAGTCGCCATAGTCGGTCCTCCGAACCGAGCCAAACAAGGGTCAAACCCACCCAATTTCAACGCAGCTAGCTTGCGTTATACAAATCTGGACTGGCAACTGTTCTCGTCTGTTCTAAAGTACCTAGATATGTATGTATATACATACTACTCTATATTCACTGCTACGTGGGATAACGAGGAACGTCAGCACGCCCCACACGACGCCACCAACTATGCTGGATCAGCGCTGCAAGATGTGTTATCCAGCTATGCCCCATACACAAAACCCGATCTTGAGTTCTGTTCTAAAGGCCTTGAAACGATTGCGACAGAATAGCAAAGTGTCGACAATAAGCCTTACCGTCAGACAGTCGCGAAATTAAGTGTATGACGGACACAGTGAGGAGAGTTTGGACGGAGATTTGCCGGCATGGTACAGCAAGGGTGATACCACGGTAGTACACGCACAAGTGCAGACGAGGATCGCTATTTGTTCTGGCTATCGCTGGATTAGCGGCGATATGCCGGCGGAGCATGACGGATGACACAATTGCTGAAACGGCGGCAATAATCGATAGGTTGGCTGCAAGACATTAGGGCCAAAATAACAGGCCTGGAAGCGATGTTACGCAGAGGAGACTTGACAGCATGCAGAAGATACTAGAGCAGTAACGAGCGGCTGCAAGCACGAGGGCCGCCGGCCGGGAAGTGGGCTCAGCGCGCGGAGGTTAGCATGGCATGGCAGCCATACATAGCTCGCCTCGCAGCAGAGCAATTGAGGCGATGACGATGACACGCCCTGTGAGGCGTTCAACAAGTGGTGTCGGTGAGTGTCTACATCGAGGGCAGCGTGCCGTTGTATGTTCTGGGGCCAGGTTGAGCCCGGGAGGCAAATGGTGAACCTGGTCGAGTGTAGTGTCGAGTGGCTCCACAGCCCTTCGTGTCGGTCGAGATGCTTAGATGCGCCCATGACCGAGCGTAGCGCAGACCGAGTCGCTTGGCTGCATGCCGGACTGGTCGTGCAGAGAGGCAGTCGGATGAGGGGCGCACGGGTAGCTGGCGATGGAGCGACAGCAGGTCGAGTATGTTCAATTCAGGTAGAGGAAGGGCCTCTGAGGGTTGCTTTTTGCGGCATCCCCAACGCTCTCGGCATGCTGATCCCATGGTACAGGACCCCGAGTCTAACGCTTATCGGGGCATTATCGCAGGCGGGGTTGTCTCTTGACAGGCGACGGCTTGGAGGCAGGGAAGGGCATTATTGCGACAGGCTGCGGCAGGGCGAGGCGTCAGCTTGCGTGGGTGAAGCAGGCCGGCAGCAGCCAGCGGCCAGCGGCCGAGAGGCGGAGCTGGTGGTAGTGTCTGGCATGTAACGACGAGGCGCGCAAGTGGAGCGTGTCGCTGGGCGAGCACACAGCACAGTCGTTCTCTCGCCGCTGGGCCATGTGCTCTCCCACTACCAGGCGCCGTCGTCTCTCTCCACAGCTGGCGGCGGCTCTGGCTGGACAGGTGCTCGTCTCACGGGTGTGCCAGTCTGGGAACCCTCGCCCACGCCGTCGCTCATCAGGGTTTTCCTTTGCCCTCGATTGCGAATCGAGCGGACCGCTGCAGCGCTTCTGGCGCTATCCCAGCCAGGTGCAGATCTAGTCGAGCCATTGGGGTGTGGGGCTGGGAGTGCATACAAAAAGCGGTGTGAGGCCTTGGCACCACCCGCCTACACTCTGGTCGGCCCATCGCCCGCCGTCCTTCACCGCTTACTACCAGCTCACGGAGGCTGAGAAGACTCGAACCCATTTCCTCTCTCCGTGCAAACATGGAGAACCAACACATCGACTTTGACGGGGCCATCTACGGCGTAGACGGCACCTTCGACCCATCTTTTGATCCCAACCGACAAACGTTCACTTTCCCGCAAACCTGGCCGCTGCCCATCTCACCCGGCAGTATGCATCAACAACAGCACCACGATGCTAGCCAGCAGCCCCAGCAGCAGCAGCAGCAGTCGCAGCAACAACATCAGCACCATCAGCGACGCATCACCGATTCCAGCGCCTCAAGCTCCCACAGCTCCCACGCGAGCTCGACGAGCATGACTCCCCTCCACCAGAACATGGGCCTTGGTTTCCCCGCCGCCATGCAACCCATGAACCCCATGCTGGCTACCTGGATGAACATCAACACCGACGGCGGCTTCACCCAGGACACGTATGCACAGGGCGCCATGACCATGGGTGCCGACTTCACTGCCTCGTACGGCGGGCCATTGCAAACATCGCCCGTCGAGTTTGGCATCAATTCGCATGTCATGATGAACTCCATGTCCATGGCTCCCATGAATTTCATGACTACCACCAGCATGGAGCTTCCCACTCTGACCACTGCTCCCTTCCAGATGGCAGACTTCCAGAGCGAGTTCACAAACATCTCGAGTGCACCCGACTATGCCACAAACTCCAACGCCGCCACTGCAAACAGCGTCTCCACTGGCTCACCGGGCGAGAACTGGATGGAGATCCGTTCGCTCTCGAGCAGTGACAACGGCTGGGTCGATATTGGCTTCAACCACCGCAACTCGTACGACTACTCTGAAAACTCTGCCATCATCTTCAACCCAGCTCAGTCGCTCCACATTCGCACTGGTTCCGACTCATCTACCTCAAATCACTCTGATGTACCTCGCTCAGCTCACTCCTTTAGCAGCTTCGAGGAGATTCAGTTCCCCATGCACTCGCCCCAATCAGAGACCGACAACACCCTAGACCTCATCCACTCCCACTCAGATCACTGCAGTCACGGTCACGGTCACGGATACACGCTCAGTGACCACGACTTCCCCAGCTACATCTCCCCCACACAGTCCGTGAGCCCTCCCATGGCTCGCGTAGAGCCAATTGTCATCAAGCAATCGTCGTCAAACACTGCCTCGCCAACCTCGTCGGCAGTCAGCTCCCCACCAGCCCGCCGCAGGAAGTCTCCCACCACTGCGTCTGGATCAAAGCCCACCAAGACCATTGTCAAGAAGACACCTGCTCACACCAACAAGAAGGACAACACTGGCGAGAAGCGTGTTGGCAGGAGACGTGGCCCTTTGAGGCCCGATCAGCGACAGCAAGCTCACGAGATCCGCAAGCTCCGTGCGTGCCTGCGATGCAAGTTCCTCAAGAAGACGTGTGACAAGGGTGATCCGTGCGCTGGTTGCCAGCCATCTCATGCACGCCTCTGGCAGGTCCCGTGCACGCGCATTGACATCAAGGATATTGCCTACTTTATGAAAGACTGGAAGGCCGACTACGAGCGTCATGTCAGCCTTGGCTTTTCTATTGGCAACATCAAGGGTTTCTCGACGACAGAGCGTTTGATCTACGTCACCCACGGCTATGGCCACTACCTCCCCATCATGGCTCGTGAGGTCTACGTCCGCGACGAAAAATGCTTCGGTGTCGACTGGCACGAGACGCTGAACGGTCTTCACTTTGAGATCAACACTGCCAAGCTGTCCGCCGGTATGGAGGGTATCCCTCGAGCCATGCTCTCCGACTACCTTGATCGCCACATTGATGGTGGTTTCGAGCAGTTTGTTGATGAGTACTTTGAGGGTACCTACTTCGTCACTGAGCTCTTGAAGACTGCCTACCGCTTCTACTGCCGCGAGAAGCTGCCAGTGATTCGCAAGGCACTTAAGCTTGTCCTTGCCTACAACCTGACTCTCCATGTCACCATGGTTGAGGGTCTGGGTGAGGAGGAGAATGTTCCTGGCAAGGTCGAAGACCAGCAGTCCAAGTTCTCTGGAAAGACCATTGCACCTGTCATGATCAACTTCCAAGTCAAGTGTGCTCTTGCCGACATGTGGCGCGAGCTGCAAAAGGACGTCCTCGAGGAGCTGTCTTCGCTCTACCAGTCCGTCTACAGTGGTGACAAGTTGAAAAACTGGCCTACCATCTTCATGCTCGCTGCCATCCTCCTGGCTGTGTGGGAGTTGATCCAGTTCGACTGCAACTACCGTGTCCCTGACATCAGCGCTGTCCACAAGTTCTGCGGTGAGATGGAGGGCACGCCAGTTGGTGTCATTGTTGGCCTCTTCTCGGCCATCTCCCAGAAGCTTCCTGCTTTCACCGAGTGGGACTCTAGGAAACACCACCACCTGCTCAACTCGAACCCTGCGGTTTGCGATGCCATGACCGAGGTCCGCGCGCATGTCACCAAATATGGTAAATACTATCAGCCTCCACTTGGCCTTTGCGAATGCTAACATGACCATCAGAACCATACCTTCGTTCACGAAGTGACTGCAAGTTCGACCGTACGGACTTCGACTCGCTTTCAAATAAGTTCCTCTCGAAGCTCGTCATCCGAGCCAACTAGATTTTAATCGACTTGCGTCTTCACGATATCGTTATCGTCTAATCCGTAGGCTGCACATACCCTTCACCGCCTATCTTTTACGCGCGACTCATCCACCGGCAACGCACTGCAGCCTGCTCTCACGGCACATCATACATATAAAGAACGACCCACGACTCACGTGCCCAATGATTGCAATCTAACGGCTGACGATCCCTGAACTTCAAACGATGAACGACTGTGTCTGCATTTTATTGCGATTCCCCGGTGTCCTCTGGATGCCATGTTTTCTCTGCGATCTCGGCTTGATCAATGATTTAAACAAGCTCCGGCTCCCACAACTTCCCAACTACATCACGCTCTTTACCGGGTGGCACCGGACTGATATTTTTTGTTTTTACTTATCTTTCCAAATGATCCATACGACCTTTATTGACTTTCTGAACGGAGACGGCTGACGTATGGTCCACGAACACGATGGCCATGACAACGATCACGACTATTTGATCTTTTGAAGCAAGCGAATAGGCAGAACCGGAATTGAGAGTCCTGCGTGTTTGAAGGTTTATTGTTCTTTCCTTTATCTATCTTTGCGAGCAGTGGAGTTGGAGGCGGGGTTCCTTGGATAGGTATCGCATCTCCGACACTTGTGTGCTGTCGATCGCGACAGTTCACACCAATCCTCCAAGAGAAAAATATCTTTTTCATTCTTGACGATTGTGTTATTGGCATAGCGAGCGAGCGGCTTGTTTTTTATTTTTTATCTCTCTTTTGGTCATATAAGGCTTTGACATACTCCTCCAGCAATACTAGCTCTATCCATGGTAGTCGCATGTGCTGTGAGTAAGCCACCTCTTTCATCTGAAAACGAGTATGTATCTATCACCGGGATTATTGGCATGGGAGTGGAATCTGGAAATCTATTACATTTTAAAATTATTATCATTATAGACAAAACAAAGAGTTTCTGTGAAGTTCTTGTTGGCCCGAAACAAATCGTGTGCAATTGAAACTGACTAACCAGCCCAACCATGGTAGTAAGTAGTACAACTCTAACAGCCAGAGTGTCGTCTTTTCTCCCCAGCCTCCTACTTCTGCCCCCCGATCTCCTGTCCCGCCTGTTTGGCGGGCAAGTTACTAAGAATTGCCGCATAAAAGCTACCCTTGCCTCTGCTTCTGCCCTTGTCTCTGCCCTGCCCTGCCCTGTCCCCTCTCCATCATCCCGCCTCGTCTCGAACCACCCATGCGTTTCTTCCTCCAATCAAAAACACACATACACCCGCTAACTAGTAGTCCCACGACGCAAAGAAATTCCCCACGTCAGCTCCCCCCTCCCCTCCCTCCCAAAAAAGGAAATGCGGACATTATGCCCGCCATCGTAAGTTGCAAAAAGGCGGTGTTTCAGCTTCTTCGTCCTTTTACTTTTACCTTCTTTGGGTCTGGTAGTTTCTTTTTTTTAGTGGGGGAGGAAGAGACGATGGGCTTGACTTAGCGAAGCCCTCGTTTTTTTTTTTCAAATACACTAATGTATACTAAACTTGTGCCCTTTTGCACTTGCATTTGTTGCCATTAGCCCTCGCGCATCGTTTGTCTCTCTGCCTTCGATCGATCGCTCGGAGTGATTTGTTTTTTTTTGGTCTATCATCGATTTTTTTTTGGTTGTCCGCGGTCGGTTCAACATCGGAATTTGGAAAAAAAATAAAAATAGAGAGAATACGAGGTTGTTAGTTTCAGGGTTTTATGGCATGTGTGGCGAAAAAAATGGGAATTTTCGGAAATCCCGCGTTTTTTTTGTTGGTTTGAAAAAGGGTCAGAAAAATTTCCCCCAAATCGTGGCATTGCATGTGTAGTCACAAAAAAAAGAAAACCTGGTTGGTTCTCTGTTACCGGACCGGTATTTACCACTTTGGTTGTTTTTCTACCTTTTGCTTCTTCCCTGCCCCCACAACACTTCCCCCTTTATTGTTAGTTTTGGGGAGTAAATGGGAGAGTTTTGCTTGATTCATTGTAATTTGTAAACTTCATTAAGGACAAAAAAACGGTCGCCGTACGAGAGACAGAGTTTGGCAAACGCTCACATGATAACAACGTTTATCTCATCTACAGTATTACTACATTTCTGGGTTTTGCCCAAAGTAACGGGGTTATGGGGGAAAAAAGGGGGCAGGAGGGAGATGTGAGTCACGTGGTATGTAAGGATATGGACCTAAGGGGGGTAAGTAGTATGAATGTGCAGTAAGATCGGGAAGGCAGAATTGGGTAAAGATCGAAAAAGGTAGCAGTAGTGAGTATGTAAAAGACGGAAGTGGGGGAATCCCACGACGGCTGTTGGTGTCGATCATGCATTTTTGGCGGCCCCGGAGTAGCCCGCAAACAGCGTGTGTATGCGTATGTTAGGCATGCGTGTGTGGTGTGCTCATATGTGTCACGATGGCGGGCTTGTACAGGGAAGAACCCTTTTTCCCTAGCTCCCGAGCACATCCGCTGTCTGACGTGCGGTGGAGAGGGGGTTTGATAGGGAGGCGTGAGATGATTGCACCCTCGGGACCAAACACCCAGGCGTGCATGAGAAGATGTGTGTATGCGGGCCGGAAATGTGGGGTGGGGTTGGCGGTTGCGGCGGTGGAGGAGAAATAAACACCTACATACTTTGGTTGATAACGGTGGTAGTGGTGGTGATGGTAAGAATAATGGTAGTGGCTGGATGCGCTTCCAGCTAGCCCTAAGCACTTGCCGGGTCAGGGGGTTGCGTGTATGCGTTGTCGTTGTTCATGTGGTGGGTGCTGGGCTTGCGTTCCTTAGTGCGGGGTTACTTTCCCATTCCCCCCAGCCTTCACCGGAAAACGTCAAACTGTCAAGATGTTACGCTCAGCATGTGTGTGTGCGACCGTGTGTGTGTATGTGAGGGTGTGTAACTCCCAAAGACCCTTATTCTGACAATCGATCGATTTGTTGGGTCTGGTCTGCTGCCCTGCGTTGTTTTCTTTCTATTTCATGGTACAAGCTAGCGAACGATATTTGGAAAAAGGGTAGTATTTGACTAGCGATAGTCACGCATTCACGTGGTAAACTAAGTGGTGGACAAACGGACTCCCGAACAAGCTTTTGGCTCGAGAACTGGAATCAATGGGTGGGGCTGGGTTCGGTCGGTAGTTAGGTACGTAGATGGGTAGAGTTTGGGTAGAGCTTTACTCACTCTGCGCTATCCCGCACATGATACTGCTTCTCCGCAGCCAAAAAGAAACGGCGGGAAAAAAGAAACGCATGCATGAAAAGACAAGAACCGTACCAAATGTATGCATACGGCAACTAAATGCAACCCTAAGCTAGAAAATTCTAGCTGCCCTGACAGGTAGTAATGTTTTCTTTTCTAGTGCTTGCTTCTAGAACCCAGCTGCTACATTTCGGTCTTGACCCGTTACAAACATTCTCGCATTAGCTGAGGGGGAGGAAAAGAAAAGGGAGCAAAAGTGCTTTCCGGTGGAGTGAACATTGGATTGTAGATCGTTCGATTACGTGCAGAACGCTAGCTTGGTGCGACGATAATGACGAAAGTGGTGGTGGTGAAGGTTGCTGTTGTAATGGTGTTTGTAAGTATGCATACGTACATGGTAATCTACATACACCGCAATATGCTACTCTTCATACGCGCAGACATACACACACACACACACACACAAACGTACTCCCTGTATACATTGCATGAGTGAGGCTCTAACTACATTCGTTCTTACATACATGTATGCACTTACAGCACAAGCTGCATTTGTGTAACCCGTCGGGTAACTGCAGCGTACATCTTCTCAACGGCTCCCTCCTTCCATGGCATTCTGTCTGTTTGCTTTTTCCCCTTCTTCAATCTTACACTTCAATCTGTTTTCGGCATAGATTGTATGCATGAATAGCAAGAGTACTGCGTCAACCGGATCGGGAAAACGAGGATATGTTCGTTGGTGCATTTTGCACTACTTCATAAGCATGGGGCGTGTGTAACCTGCAAGTCGTTTTGCTGTTGAGGTTGAGGTTGGGGTATGGGGATCTGAAGCGGTGTGAAGAGGGTGGGTGTGAGTGTGGGTGTGAGTGCGAGATAGTGGCGTTCGTTACGGTGTCAGCATTGTTGGGAAAATATGCGAGAAGACAACTTGGTGGAGGCATAACCATTGTGTAGACACTGGTTGGCAAAAACATGGTGTTATTTCCCCAGAGTCGATATACAGACAGTGGCATGTTGCTAAGTCCCTCTTTTCAGAACTGATAGATATCCTTTTCCAAGACGACTTGCGAATGAGTTACCAAAAAGAAAACAAGGTGTTCAGATAAAACATCACAATTCCCGCATTCTTTAGAGGCAGGCTTCAGCAAGTGCACACCCATGATATTTTTCTACATTGATGTATCGTATCTAATCGTTTTTTAGAACCCCTGCCTGAACTTGGGTACATATACCTCTTCCAGGTATTTTGCGTCTTCATCGCTAAGCTTGAAGTGAATGTTCTGTACCGCTTCTTCAATTCTTTGTTTGCTGCCCAACCCGATGATGGGGCAAACGCCCTTTTTGATAGCCCATGATGTTGCAATGCATGCCATGCTGACGTTGTTCTTCTTTGCAACCTCTTCAACTCGCTCGATAATCTTCTTGTCAATGGCGTCTTCCCTCGAATAAACGAGTAATTCCTGGAACTTATCGGTTCCTGCACGCTTTGTAGATCGATCATTCCAAGGGCGCGTGAGGGCACCACGGGCTATGGGCGACCATGGGATGAGACCGACGCCAGTGTCTTGACAGTATGGAATCTGGACGATTTGTTAGAGCGGCCCACAGAACTCTCTATACTCCAGTGCTTACCATTTCGCGCTCCTCCTCGCGGTAAAGCAAGTTGTAGTAGTTCTGCATTGAGATGAACTTGTGCCAGCCGTTCTTGTCTGCAATATTTTGCAATGTTTGGAACTCCCACGCAGCCATTGAGCTGGCGCCAATGTAGCGTACCCAGCCCTTCTCAATAACATCGTTCAGGGCCTTCATGATTTCCTCCCTTGGTGTATCACGATCCAAACGATGGATTTGTAGGACATCAATGTAGGTGCCCAATCTTTCTACGCTCTTCTCTACAGCGTCAAAGATGTGCTTGCGACTCAAGCCAACTTGGTTGACCAGCTCGGCGTCGTTGGCGGATGTTTGTGCAATAGGGATGCTGGGGTCTTCTTCGATGACGCCGAAGTAGCATTTCGATAGAATGACGACCTTGCTGCGCGGGATGTTGTACTGCTTCAGCGCTTTTGCAATGATCTTTTCGGAGATACCATGGGAGTAGATATCGGCCTTGACAGCGTTCTGTTAGCCCTGCTTTCACGTATGCGCTATCATTGCGATGATGTGTAGGAAGTCGTCTAGAGAGCAACATACCGTATCCCAGGTGTTGATACCGCACTTGTATGCATGCTCAAGCAGTGGCAAGCTTTCGGCTTCATCCAGAACCCATGGCTGCCATTTGGAAGAGCCATAGCTCATGGCACCCAAGATGACCTTTGAGACTTTGAGGCCAGACTTTCCTAAGCTATTTCGCATGAGCACACTGGCCATTGGAAGCTCCTGTTACTCATGGCAATGAAGAACTCACTTGACGTATTCCATCTTCTTCTCTGCCATTGTTGCGTGTGTGTATGGGGTCTCTTGGAAAGTCGTGTGAGTGGAGTCGTTGATGACAATTTTTCTGCGATTGTGACCTTTGCAGCGAGGCAATGGGGGATTTATAAATCAGATGGCAGTGTTATTGAAGAGAATCGCGGGGTTTGCTGTAAAAGCCGCTCAGCTCGTCCGGCCTTAGGTCAATTAAATGAGTTCCAGCTATAAAAGGCCGGGAAGCGGACTCGCCTCTGCCAATCTCCGTTCAATGATGTCGCCCTTGAAGTGGGGGTGGATTTTAGCGGAGATATTGCCAGTGGCGTCAACTGAAGTGGGGTTGTCGGAATTAAGCCGCGATAAATGGAGTACCGCGATGGCAGTAGAGACAACATCATGGTGTCGCTGTCCAACATCAACTGTCAACTTGACACAGGCATAATGTCAACAAGCCAGAGATTGTGAAGCATGTATTATGCACACGCATAATTTGTGCAAGAAGCCGCACAGTCTGAGAGGTGGATTAGTAAAGACAAATAATCACGCAGCGCATGTGTACAACAGTATTTGAGCGACCTCGAAGCCCGTAGGCAAGTGTAGATGCATTGATGAGGCTTTAGTAGCCGTATGAACTATGAATAAAACCGACCCGCTTTAACGCAGCCCGTAGGCTGAATCATGTCATAAACGCCATACCCAGAATGATATCGTAAACTGTCGTCACGCTTACTGACCGCCACGTAGACGGAGCACCAAGTGGAGCGTGGACTCCTTCTGGATGTTGTAGTCGGCAAGGGTTCGGCCATCCTCAAGCTGCTTGCCGGCGAAGATCAAGCGCTGCTGGTCTGGTGGGATGCCCTCCTTGTCCTGGAT